TGCTAAATAATCTTAGCTGGCAGAGAAACATGGATTTTCAATATACCGATAAAATACCGGACGTTAGAAATACTATTGGAAAGGTTCAATAACTGACAAAATCATCAGTTATTCAGAATGTGAATTATCAGGATCATATCTTATTTGGACAGTTTTCAGAAGTTGTACGTAATCAGAAGGGTATTCAGAATCCTTTACATCCATGTCAATTGATCGGAAAATCGAACAATCTTAAGAACGAAGATTCAAAATCTTAATAATCTATGTCGACTGGTCAATTCATTTTCCTTTCAGGGTATTTACTCGTTAATACCAAAAATTCTTGTCCATAGATCATCTTCAGAATCATCGCTGAATAGATCTTCCAATGATCTTTATTTCATTTCCAAGCTTCCACGATATCATGACATACTGACATGCTTGATTTGTAGTTCATGTTCCATAAGGACATTACATCTTATAAACTCATCAGAATTTCCAGACTTATCCAATACACTTATTTAATCCTCAGTCATTGAGGTTACCTAGTTTATTTAACAATCATATCCATTCCAATTACTTCGGGATTTTTCAGAGTAATTCAAACGTTCCTAAATTTTAGACACATGTTGCACTTACGTTCCATTCAATTTGGTCTTCGTGGTTGATTTGTCGAACAAACGTCCAATTCCTAGTACTGAATACGATCTAGATCTGAGCTGAACTGAATACTTCCAAAATTTGTCATCGAGCCAAACTTGAGAAGACGAACACATGTTCCAGTAATATCTATGCCATTCAGGTATTGACATAGCTTTAGGGTTGATCTATTCACTTAAATTGTGTTCCATTACTTTTAAAGGTAGGCCAATACCTATGCTTATTTGGATTCCTTAATTAATCCAAGGTATTTACTTAGTATAGGTCATAAGGGTATTTTGGTAATTTTGGTGTTTAGTTTTATTCCATTCATTTCAGAGCTCGAGGATATCCAATCATTTCTGAGCTTGGTGATATTCTTGGGTCATTTCTATTACAGGGGTATTTTGGTCATTTTATAGATCCACGGTATTTCAATCTTTTTCCTCCATTCGGTCTTATTATTTAATTCCAATTTATTATCTATTCCAGTCCGTTCGAACAATTCTGATAAAAGAGCACCCTCCGATAAATTGTTCTTCAGGTATTTACTCATAACTCGGATATTTTCGGGTCAAGTGCCTTCTCGGATTTTACAAACGGAATACTATGAATTTTTCTTTACAAAGACAGAATATTAATAATTAAATTTGTACTTAATCGAGTTAAGTACAAATCCTCAAAGTACTTTCTCCTTCAGGGTCAACTCTGACTATTTTACCTCTCAAGGGCATTTTCGTAATTTCTTAACCAAATAATTTCGATATTAACTCTTAACGAGCATACTTATAATTTAAAAATCCTATGGTTAGTTGTTTCCTCGAACATTCTCTGATCTTGAAATGATTCCTTAACAGACTTCTAGTATCTTGCATAATCTCTATTGGGGTTAAAAACCGGTTATCCCTAATTTCCAAGTAAAACTTACATTTCTTATGCACGTCAATAAATTTATCAGATCAATATGTCTTTTCAGATTTACTAATCCACTTTCAGGGACAATTCTTGTCATTTTCCAACATAAGGGTAATTTCATAATTTTACCTAATCGAAATATTCTCATAATTTATCATATAAGTACCTTTAACATTTAACCTTTGATGATATAAAATATAAGTTACAAATCCAGGGCTAATTTCTTTATCACTTATCACAAACTTGTAATTTAATTTTAACAATTCCTCAATCTCTTATATTAGTCATTCGATCCGTATTCAGTTACAGAATTTCTACCACATTCATATCAAGTGAATAAATTATTCAACTCCACAAAAGTGACCAACATTATCTTATTCATGCATTTACCAATATCAACATGTTCCATAAAACATAAAGAGGTAGTAAAGTATTACCTCGATTTTCCATGCCATACTGGTCGAACATTTAAATTCCATTCAAACGTCCTCGATCTTTGATTCAACTTTCAATATTTTCATCTCGATCCAGACCATCAAAATTACTAACTCGTATCCAAATAATTTTCCTCGCCATAAGATAGATTATTAGAATTGAAATAATAATTTGGAAACCCAATTTGTATAATAGAATAATTACGGGGGCTACTTTAATAATTAATCACTAAAATTAGGGACTGAACCGAATTAATTTGCACTATTTAGCCATAAACTAAAACTAAAGTAAACTATGAGACAAGGCCAAGTTCTTACCAAACCTTGAGTACTCATGATGCGATTTTTCACTTTATTTTTTTTAAGTCTCCACCCACGTGATTCTCCTGTTAGAATCATAACCCCAATTTTTTCAAACATTTCAATCCATTTCTTTAACATTTCATCTCCTTTTTTTCCAAATGCTCTATACTCAAATATGATTTCATGATCAAACTGTCATCGATCGCCGGTGACCACCGCATCGACCACCGTTTTTTGTCACCACCCGGGACCCAAAATATATCGCTGGAACCACCTTATGCTTCTCATCCCAAATCCAAACTTCGATCATCCAAAACCATCACCAATCATCGTAAATCTAGAGAAAACATTCGGTTTTCTTGAAGTAAATCACGCTGGCCTGCCTCCGATGACCTTTCGATGAAGCTAAAACCGAGTTATGTTGTTCATGGCATCAGCGAAGACCCTTTCACCGCCACTTTGTTTCCAGGATTGGGTTTTCGGATAGGCATATAGACTGGTAGAGGCAGACTCATGGATGATGAAGCTTTGCTTGAACTGCAACAAGGTTGTGCGCTCATCCTCTCCAAGACAGATCGTGAAGACTATGCGTAAGTCTTTTTTTTCCTCAGCTATTTCAAACACACGTATTTAAAGCCGAGTTAAACTATAAAAATCTTGCAGCATGTGGTTCTCTTTTTTCCAGGTTATAATATTAAAAATAATATTAAAATTCTCATCAATCTAAAAGATAGGAATTCACGTGAATTCCATAACCTCCTAAAGCTAAAAGAGTTTTGAATCTCTAATTTTGGTCTTGTAAGGGATAGAAACACTATGATTAAGAAATAATATATTTTTATTGTAGGGTTCACTTTTGAAGCAACTAGCAATAACAAACAAAATTGTTGGCGGTAGAGTGGTTGTAGCACTTGCAGAAAGAGACAAAGAAGAAATGGGGTGTTACAAGAAGTGACTCCTAAAATGTTATATGATTGATATGATTCTTATGAGTGCATTTTAGTTTATAAGATTATAAGGATTTGGACTTGTGATAAGTCTATTTCCAATAGTTATAGTGTATGGAGTATTGATTATAAGGATGTGAATGACATGAAATGTATGTATACTTGATTATATGAACTGATATGTGCTATGTGATTTATGGGATATGCCATATATGAAAATAAAATATGAACTATAGGAAAGAATTATATGATGTATACATGAACATATGTGAACAAAATATAACATCCATGTTTACATGAACACATGAGAAATAATATAAGTTGTATGATACGATTTATATGATTACATGCACATGTGATATATGTTATATGATATGGATCTATGTGACTACGTGAGAAAGAATATATGTTTATGAGAAGACATAATAACAAGGTATAAGCTATGTGACATGTGAATATGAATCATATGGAAATGGTCTACGTGTAAGTGAACTATGTGCCGATATGAATATGTATATGAAAGATAATGCCCATGTTATGTGTCATGAGATTTAGAGGTATAGTTGGCATGCCAAGAGTCGAGGGTCTAAGCGGTCTTTCGGGACAAATTCTACATGGTCCTTCGGGACGTATATGTATTCTTTGGAGCATGAAAGATAATTATATTTGAAATTTTTCACTGTTCATGGCAATGTTCGGGTACTGTAGCAGGTACTGTTCATTATTGTTCATACGATATTGTTCATACCGTATTTTACTGTTTATAAATACATTTTTACCTCAAAATTTTATAACAAACACAATTCAATAATATATATAATCGTATTTTCTTAAAATGAGTTCAAATGTTTTGATATTTTGTACGAATATCATTTTTAAAAGTCAATGTGACATCTCGGACTTGTATTTGAGTCGGACACGGGTTGAGGTGTTACAGATGATCTGCTAAGGGAAATTGAGACCGAATTTGATTCTCATTGAGACAACATAATCTGAATCGGGTTTTTTCATATCTATAAAACAGTTTGGCACTAAAGTCGATAGTCATAGTTAGTCTCCGTAAAGAACTGATATCCAAAAATAGATTTTAGGTTATCGGATCACAAGAGAGAAAAACAAATTACAGGGGTTGGGTCCTGTAGAGTGTAACCAACGAATAACTGAAGCAAAAAATTTATTCCGATGATCAATAGAAATTTGAGACAAAAGCTGAAGCCTGAGACTAATTTCACTATAAATTTCTTTTTATCTCAATCACTTTAAATTTATTTAATTAATTATTTTCTTTTATTTAATTCTTATATTTTATTTTAAAAACAACTTTTAAACCCTCATTTAATCTTATTCACTTCATCAGAAACATCAATCTCTATGAACTGACCCTACTTTTCTACTATACTCTCTATTTATTTATTTTTAAGATGTCAAAATTATTTTGACAGTAAAACGCACATGTTAGAAATCATAAATTTTGTTACCATATGAAGATTGGGCTTTTGGTAATTGATTGCCATGTGAGCTAGCTGCTCCTTTTCTTACTATTACAGCTTTTGCAAGTGGTTCTGTCTGTGATTCCTCTGCAATTGCCATTTCATCGTAAGTATTATCCATTAACCTGAATTCATTCTCTGCTTATTTAAAGTTGTTCTTTTTTTCGCTTTCTTCTTGCCTGCTTCCTTTCAGTATTTTCTTTCTTGGCTCTCCTTTACTGTCTTCGTTGTTCATTTTATTTTGCTTTCCATTCGGACCTCTCCCAAAGAAAAAGAAAAAAAAAGAAAGAGAAATGGATCCAAATGCTGCTGGTGCTGCTGCCAATATCTCTTCCGAAACTGCGAAGGGTATCTTCCACGTAGCAAAACGACATATCAGATATGTAATTTCCTACCAGAGATACGTCAAGAATTTCGAGGAAAAACTTCAGAAGTTGATTGAGAAAAGATCAAGCGTGCAGCAAGATATTGTTGTTGCAGAAAGGAACGTGCAGAAGATTAAAGCGGATGTGAAAGGTTGGTGCGATAGAGTGGACAAGGTTATAGCTGAAGACCAGCATAAAGTGGATGATCTTCAAGTCAAAGCAATCAACAAGTGCTTTTTTGGCTTCTGTCCCAACATCAAGTCTCGACACATGCTTACCAGGAAAGCAGAAGAAGATGCCGCAACTTTTGATGAGCTTATCAAAGACTGTCAATTTAACAGCGTGGGCTACCATGATCTTCCACAACTCATAGTGGATACAGACTTTGAGGCCTTTCAATCAAGGGAAAAGGTTATCGATGATATCATGGAGTCACTGAAAGATTCTACTGTGAGCATGATCGGAGTGTACGGGATGCCTGGCGTGGGAAAAACATCACTAGTCAGAGAAGTTCATAGACAACTCCAGGAGGCCAAGTCATTTGACTGGGTGGTTAGGGTCACTGTATCTCCGACACCTGACATTCAGAAAATCCAAGACGAAATAGCAGAATCTTTGGGTTGAAGATCGAAGAAAAGAGTATAGTTGTAAGAGCCAGTAGATTACGTGAAAGGTTAAATCAAGGGAAGAATCAGGAGAAGAGGGTTCTTATTATTCTGGATGATATTTGGAAGAAACTGGACCTGGAGGAAGTAGGAATTCCATTTGGAAGTCAACAAAAAGGATGCAAGATACTGTTGACATCTAGAAATAAAAATGTTCTAAGCAATGGGATGGGTGCTACCAAGACCTTTCAGCTTGGTGATTTAGAGGACAAAGAAGCCTGGGAGTTTTTTAAGAAGATGACCGGGGACAGTTTTGAAATTGATAATGAGCTTCGATCTACAGCCATTGAGGTAGCCAAAAGATGTGCGGGATTGCCGCTCGCCATTGCAACAGTTGCTAGGGCGTTGCAAAAACAAAGTTTATCTGTTTGGAAGGAGGCTTTACGACAACTACAAAGGCCTTACTCAGAAAACCCAAGCGAGATATCTGCCGAGGTATATTCTGCTATTGAATTGAGTATCAATCATTTACGGGGTGAAGACCTCAAGCAGGTTTTCCTGCTTTGCAGTCTATTGCGTCGTGATGCTAACATTGAAGATTTGTTGAGATATACAATTGGTTTGGGTTTAATTAAGGGAGTCGACACCGTGAAAGAAGGACGTAATGCGTTGTTAACAATGACGAGTACCCTGAAAGCATCTTGTTTGTTGCTCGATAGTGACAACAATGATCAATTCTTTGGTGTGCATGATCTTACTTATATTGTGGCAAAATCAATGGCTTCCAAGGACAAGCAGGTGTTTGCCTTAAAAGAAGATGATATTCTGACGGAATGGCCAAATGAAGAATCAATGAAAAAGTGCAACATGATTTGTTTGCAATATCCTAATCTCAACAGGCTTCCTGACAATTTGAATTGTCCACAGCTTTCTCTATTCCTTTTGTGTGGCAAGGATCTTTCCCTGACGTTGTCGGATGACTTCTTCAAGGAAGCAACAAATCTTAAAGTATTAGATTTGACTAGTATGCGATTTTCTTCTTTACCTTCATCAATTTGTCTACTAACAAGCCTCAGCACATTGTGCCTCTATCACTGCAAACTGGGAGATAATATTACCATTATTGGAGAGCTAAAGAGCTTGGAAATTCTTGGCCTTTTGAAATCTGATATTAGATTTCTACCAAAAGAAATTGGGCAACTGGTGAAGCTAAAGTTGTTAGACGTGAGTCGTTGTGCTAAGCTCAAAACAATTTCAGACGGTGTGTTGTCAAGTTTGTCAAGAATAGAAGAATTATATATGGGTGGGACTTCTATTCAATGGGGAGAAAGCAGTGCCACTCTTGCTGATCTACAGGCACTGTCTCGTTTGTCCACTTTAGAAGTTCAAATCTTGGATGCTAAGGCGGCACCACACGACTTCTTTCAAGAGTTGCAGAAATTGGAAAGATACAAGATTTTCATAGGAAAGGAATGGGAGTGGGAGCGGTTTCGCAGCTACCGATATTCAAGAACCCTAAAACTGAGGCTAAACACAGGCATGGATGATTTGGATATTGGAATTAAGAAGTTGTTGAAAAAAACTGAAGATTTACATTTGGATGAACTCAAAGGCGTGAAGATTGCATTGCGGGAGTTAATAGATGAGGAAAGCATATCGCAGTTGAAGAATCTACATATCCAAAATGGTTTAGATACTGAATACATTATCAATGATGAGTACGAGTTTCCTCAATTACAGTCCCTGACACTGCATGATATTCCTAAGCTCATTAGCTTTTGCCCTCAACACGAAACCGGTGCTACCAGCTCATTACCTCAACATGAGTTGCCACTTTTCAGTGATAAGGTATTTACAATTCAGTCTTTTAAATTTTTATTTCAAATATTTCCTGAAATCATTTGTATGGTTGTAGATATCGTTCCCTTCCTTGGAGAATTTGTGGCTGAAGTCGATTAATGTTACAAGGGTATGGCACAACCAACTTTCAAGTACATCTTTCTGCACTTATGAGAAGTTGACAAGATTGAAAATCGAGGGTTGTGGAAGCTTAAAACACCTGTTGTCATTTTCTATGGCTAAATGTCTAGTGCATATCACAGACTTTGAGATAATTGGGTGTTACTGCTTAAGAGATATCATTTTCATGGAGGAAATAGAAGAAGAAACCGAGGCTGCTACAACTTTATCATTATTTCCTCAATTAAAGTCCTTAGAGTTGAAGGATCTTCAACATCTGATTGGATTTTGCTCTGACTATCAGATTCAAGTTGTTGAATTTCCGGCCATGAAGTCACTGACGGTAAACAACTGTCCAGAATTGGAGGGTTTCATATGCAGATCTTCAATGGAAGGCAACCAACGCATTTGTAGTCATGTTCTGTTCGACAATAAGGTAGCTTAATTATTGGTTTTAGCATTCTTAAATTCTTAATTTTAACACATTATCAAATATTAAAATATTTTTATTTATTACATTATACAAAATTCAGATTAAATATAAAATATAAATAAATATAACAAACATAATTGAAGATGATCCGAAGCACAAAAATGATTTTCACGAAATTTGTGCTCCAAATTTTTAAAATTATATATCAAAATGTGTGCCTTCAAAATTATATATATGCAATCGCAAACACACGCGCAGTCATAGATGTATTTGTAGCGCTAGCATCTAATTTCATTATTTTGGCATGATGAGTGCAGGTTGCATTTCCCAGTTTGGAGGAAATGAGAATTTCCTTCTTGACAAAGTTGAAGATGGTATGGGAGAACCCACTTCCACCAAATTCATTTCCCAAACTAAGAGAAATCAGCATTGATGACTTACCAAACTTGAAATATATTTGGAAAAACGGTCCCAAAGACATTTTTTCATTTAAAAATCTACATGGAATATCTGTGGAGGATTGTAAGAGTCTGAAGAATGTATTTCCAGCCTCAGTAGCCAGAGACCTCGCACAACTCAGTGGTCTTAGTATAATCGGTTGTCCAGTGAAGGAGATTGTTTCTAAAGTAGAGGAAGGATTGGATTCGGGAACCACCATCACTTTCGAGTTTGATCAGCTGTCTTACCTTTCGCTACGTTGGCTACGAGAATGCAAATGTTTCTACCCGGGTAGGCATACCACAAAGTGGCCAATGTTAAAAGAGTTACGAGCATACGAGTGTGGGGAAATGAAGATATTTGGTACACAACTCATCACTCACAACCAACAACTCGACTCCCAACCACCACTTTTCTTGGTTGAAAAGGTATAAACCCTCTCGCTCCCACTCTATATGTTCTGCTTTATTTTAATTAAAATATTAATTCAGTGATTTGATATTTGACACGTTGTTACCAATTTGTATTTATAAAAATAAAATTCTTTGTTTCTTTTTCTCTCTCTATCAACTCTCCTTTCTGCCGTTTTCGCACTCTATTCTGCTTTATTTTCAATTAAAATATTAAATCTTAATATAGGAAGATGAACATAGCGACTCCAAAATTGTTTTTTGATTGGTTTTCAGGTCATCCCTAAACTACAACGTCTGGAAATCAGTGCTGATTACATTCCAATGATAAGTGGTGGTCAATTGCCAAACAATCTTTTCCATCAAATAAAAGCTTTTAGGGTGCTAGGCAACTGTGATAAACCAGTTACTGATTTCCAAATTTCTTTCCTTGAAAGATTCTACAATCTAGAAGAGCTTTGTATCACTTGTGAAATCAAAGAGTTATTCTATACTGAAGGAGATACTGGTAATAAAGGGACGTATGATAGGACACTGTCAACAATTAGAAAAATAACACTGTCACAGCTTGATAATCTAAAACGCTACTTATGGAAGCAAGACGTACAAGTGGACCGCATTCTACCCAACCTTGAAACTCTTGAAGTTCACTATTGTAGGAATCTGATGAGCTTAGGATCATCCTCAGCATCGTTTCAAAATCTCACCACCTTGAAGGTGTGGGAATGCGAACGAATGGAATACTTGTATACATGTCTAGCATTGCAGGGTCTGTCTCAACTCAAAAAACTGATCATAAGAGAATGCATTTCAATGAAGAAAATAGTTGGAAGTGAGGAAGATGAAACAACGTGCGACATTATATTCAGCAGGTTGAAAAGTTTGGAACTTGTGAATCTACCACGACTTAAGAGCTTTTGTTCAGGCAACCACACATTTGGATTCCCATGTTTAGAGCAAGTGATAGTGAGTAGCTGTCCTGAGTTAGAGATATTTTGTAAGGGAGTTTTAAATGCGCCGTTGTTGCACGGTGTAGAATATGGAAAAGGTAAAGAACATTGGAGTGGTGACCTTGACAGCACTGTCCAACAGTTGCATTCAAAAAAGGTATTCACTATTTTGCATTCCATTAATTTAGCTTTAGATATTCTATTTTACTCCCGAATCTCTTTCTTCCTTTCGTGTTGTTTAGTTGTAACCTTGAATCCTTTATGAACTTTAACCCTTGTTTCTCTATTTGATTACTTTATGAAGGTTGGGTATCAAGGCATCAGTCATTTGATCCTTTCCGAATTTTCCAAGTCAATATGGAAGGAGAAAAGTGTAGATTTCAAGAACCTCAAATTTTTTGAAGTTGAGTGTAATAGCTTGAAATACATATTTAGCGTTTCCATGGCCTTGGAACTTGTGCAATTGAAAGATATAAGAGTGAAAAGATGTCCCGTGATGGAGTACATTATCAAGAAAGAAGCAGAGGAAACTGCGATGGATACAGTCTGCTTACCAAATCTTGAGAAGATAAGACTGGAGTCATGTTCAGATTTGAAAAGTTTTTGCATGGCAGGTATTACTCTGCATTGTCCATCTTTGAGAAGAATTGAAGTAGATGACTGTCCAAAGATGTACGCAATGGCATGTACAAGGAAGGTAGGTGGGCGAGAAAAGACACCCTTTTTCAATGATAAGGTCTCTCTCTTCTCTTCTTTTCTGTTTCGTGTTTTGACTTTTAACAATCACATTAATTAATATAGATCTGTATGCGTTTATCATCACAAGCGTACATAATTCATGCAATGAGGATTGTGGTTGCAGGTTTTGTGTGCCAAGTTGGACTGGTTACAGCTATCATCGACTAACATCCAGAAATTATGGCCAGATGAACCACACAGTGCTATATCCTTTATTGTTCATATGTTGCGAGTCTTAATCGTGGAGGGTTGCCACAATTTGGAATATATATTTCCATCCTTTTCAAGAAAAAAATTTGTGGGACTCGTTTACATTCGCCTTGTCGATTGCGACAACTTAGAAGAAGTGATCTTTACAGATGAAGCGACAGCAGAAGAAGAAGGGATAACTGAGGCTTACTGGTTCACTAAACTAAATCTATTGGAGCTCAGTAGGCTTCCAAAATTAGGGACATTCTGTCATGGAGAAAACTCAGAGACTGATTCCCCAACCCTCTTCAACCAAAAGGTGATTTTTCTTCCTTCGTTTTTTTTATCCTTTTATATCCTCTACAAACTATTTATTAACTTAAATAATTTCCGCAGGTTGTGTTCCCTAACTTGATCCATTTGACCATTCAAGGTATTGGGAAGTGCAGAAAGATATGGCACGATAAACCCAATATACAACAACAACAACAAAACCCTATTCCCATATGCAATGGGGTAAGGGGGAGGTAGAGTAGTAGGCTGCCCCCAACGCATAGTTAAGAGCAGCTTCCGTGGAAGACCTCCGGCAGTCAGAAAATTAAAAATAAAGATAAAATGCAATGCATGTATAAATAAATATTTGAACAGTCTTCATATACAATCTTCATATGCGCGTCATATAATGGGAAGTAATCCTTGCTAATAAATCCCTGCATAATAATCTCAGCATATAGACAGAAACCTAAGACCCGACTAAAATTAAAGAGAGGAAACATGAAGAGAATGATACACAGAAGTTGAACGATAGCAAACTACGAGAATTAATAAAGTTAAAAGGGTTAAAACCTAAACTAAGGCAACATTAATCCGCTACCCTAGTTCTAAGCCTTCATTAATTCCAATGACAGAAACGTATAAAAAGTAGAAGTCATGAGAATTACTATAAAGACATTAAAAGAAGACAGAAATGCTACACCCTATGGATGTGACCCGCACTAATCGACTACCCTGGTCTTAAGTCTCCATAATTTCCTATCAGAGGTCATGTCCTCGGTAAGGGCTAAATCCTTCAAATCAGATCTTAAGCAGTCTTCCCACTTCCGCCTTGGTCGTCCTCTCCTTCTGGCACCGTCGACTGTAATCGACTCTACCCTCCTGACCGCATCCGACGGGTGTCGCCTAAGGACATGCCCAAACCACCGTAGTCTTCCCTCTCTCAATTTTTCGGATACAGACACCACCCCCAAGGACATCCTAATAGCAGAGTTTGGTGTCATGTCCCATAGAGTCTTACCACATGCCCATCGAAGCATTCTCATTTCTGCGGCCTCCATCCTCCTTACGTGATCCTTCTTGATTGCCCAACATTCTGATCCATACAACAGCGCTGGTCTTATTGCCATTCTATAAAATTTTCCCTTAAGTTTTTGAGGCACCTTCTTGTCACACAAAACTCCAGTAGCTGCCCTCCACTTTAGCCATCCCACCTTTATACGGTGTGTAACGTCATCATCTACACCCCCATCCTTATGTATCATAGACCCTAGGTACTTAAAACAATCCTTTGAGGGGAGAACGTGTCCTTCGATGCATACTTCTACATCTTCATCGTTTTGGTTCCCACTGAAGTTTGAACATAAATACTCTGTCTTTTCAATATTGATCCTAAGACCTTTTTCTTCCAAAGCAGTCTTCCAGGTAGCCAGTCTACTATTCAGCTCAGTTTTTGTTTCAGCAACTAGGACAATGTCGTCAGCGAAAAGCATACACCATGGAACACCATCTGGTGTCGCACAATAGATGTCGTCCATAATCAAGGCGAAGATGTAAGGGCTAAGAGCCGACCCTTGGTGGAGTCCGATTTCCACCGGGAATGCCTCGGTGTCGCCAACTATAGTCCTGACGTATGCAGTAGATCTACAGTACATATCACGAATCACCCGGATATAAGCAGTTGGGATCCGTCTCGTTTCCAAGGTCTTCCAGATCGTATCGCGGGGAACGCTATCATACGCCTTCTCAAGGTCAATGAACGCCATGTGAAGATCTCTATTTTTTTCCCTATATTTCTCCATAAGCCGTCGAAGTAGATGAATCGCCTCCGTAGTAGACCTGCCTGGCATAAAGCCAAATTGGTTTTCCGAAACCCTAGTAACCTGTCTTAACCTAGCCTCTATCACCATTTCCCATAGCTTCATGGTATGACTGAGTAGTTTAATACCTCTGTAGTTGCCACAACGTTGGGGATCTCCTTTAATCTTAAAGATTGGTATCACCGTAGACTCTCTCCACTCCTCTGGCATCTTGGCAGTCTCTAAAATAATATTAAAGATATTGGTCAACCACTTAACTCCCTCTTCTCCTAGGGCCAACCACACAGTGATAGGAATTTGATCTGGACCGACAGCTTTGTCCCTCCCTATCTTTCTAAGAGCCATTTTGACTTCCTCAAACCCAATCCTACTTGTAGGGCAGTCATTTGCCGTAGTATGATGGTCGGCTGGCCCATCAACGGTACTATCTCTACAGGGGGAGGCACCGTCATTAAATAAGCCAAAGAAGTAACTACCCCAAACCCTCTTAATATCATGATCTTTCACTAAAAGAACACCATTGTTGTCCTTAATACACCTAATGCTACCTAGATCCTTTTTCCTATTCTCCCTGGATTTTGCAAGTCTGAAGATGCCGTTTTGTCCTTCCTTGGTGTCTAATCTCTTGTACATTTCCTCATATGCCTTTTCCTTTGCTTTAGCCACCGTTTTCTTGGCTTCCCGCTTTGCTTCCTTGTATATTTGTTTAGCTCTCGATCTTTCTTCGTCGTCATTGCATTGTAGAAACTCCTTGAAGCAAGTTTGCTTTGTCTTCACCTTAGTTTGGACTTCGTCGTTCCACCACCACGATTCTTTATGCTCCTTGACCTTCCCTTTCGACAACCCAAGGGTGTTTTTGCCCACCTCTCTGATGGAACTTGCCATATTTTTCCATAACATAACAGCATTATTTGAGTTTGTAGTTCTAAAATCTGTATTAGACAAAACCTTACTCCTAAAGTCATCAGCTGTCGCTCCATGTAAGTTCTTCCAAAGGATCCTAGGTTTACCAAGTTTAGCCCTCCTATGGGTGCTCCGCCCATGGCGTACGCGAAACACCAAAACCAACAATTTGTGTTGTGATGCACAAGCCTCTTCAGGGAACACCTTACAGTCAATGCAAGCCCATCGATCCCGATTTCGAACCAAGATGTAGTCGATTTGGGTACAATGTCCCCCGCTATGGAACGTAATCAAGTTCACATCTCTCTTGTTAAAGAAAGAGTTAGTGACCACCATATCGTGTGCAGTAGCAAAATCAAGCAACGAACGCCCCTCCTCGTTCCTACTGCCAAAACCGAAACCCCCATGAACACCGTCATACCCGCCGGTTGCACTACCTATATGGCCATTGAAGTCTCCCCCTATGAAAACTCTTTGGTCCTCCGGAATGCTCCTAAGTACATCATCTAACTGATCCCAGAAGCAACGTTTCTCCCCCTCACCTAGGCCAACGTGTGGGGCGTACACTGAAAGGACATTCACCACTTCCTCTTCTATAATAACCTTAATCATCAAGATCCTATCCCGATATCTACAAACTTCGACTACATTTTCCTTGAGCTTAGAGGATACCAAGATACCCACCCCATTTCTAGCGTTATCTACGCCTGAATACCACAACTTGTACCCATTACACTCTCTGGCTCGAGCCCCTTTCCACCTAGTCTCCTGAATACATGCAAAATCTATTTTCCTATTACTAAGTACGTCGGTCAGCTCCAGCAGCCTAGCATTTAATGTGCCTACATTCAACGAACAAACTCTAAGTCTAGTCTCTTTGACACCACTCTGTCTAACCCTCCCCCTATACGCCCTATGAGATCTAAAAGAATGACATGACCTCAAGTAATCATCTATAGCCGAAGCTATGAGGAACTATGAAAAAGGGAATCCAAACGGGTAACCAAACGGATTTAAACAAAGGTAACTACAAAACTAAGTTTTAAACCACCAACAGTTCGTAAAATTTATAAATTCAGAATCAAAGTAAAATTACAGTTCGTAAAAAAAAAAAAAAAAAAAAAATCTCAAACTGCATACACTTTACAGAAGAAAAAAAAACCAGCATTCACGTTTAAAGCGAAAAATGCAAGCTAAAAACTAAAAACAAAAACAACAATATGATTATGAATATTTTAGGTTAATAAAAAGAACAAATAAAACGAGAAAATTAGATGAAAATATATGCTCACACTTCAAGTCCCCAAGGAAAAAACACCGACCAGATGCTCAAATACTTTTTTAAAACTGAGTTCCCAAATTGACTTTGATTGTTGAAATTCAAAAGAGAAAATAATGAAAGGTTCTCAATTTCAAAAACCCAGCAGACAAAGACAAAAACAAATTAGAGAATGTAAGTTATTGTTTGGAATTGTTTTGCGTATATCTATTATGATAATATACTGTTATAGTTTGCTTTAAATGTTAAAAAAAAATGAAATTACGAGGTAAACTTATCCGGAGAAGTGAGTAAACTTATCTGGAGAAGATGGTGAGGTAAACTTATCTGGAATTTTTTTTTTTTTTTTTGAATTTCACAAATTCAAAAGAGTTCAAAAACCCTAATTGAAGAAAAGAGGGGAAAACTTATCTGGAGAAGATGGTGAAGTAAACTTAATCGATGGTTAGTAGATCTAAATCAAAGTATCTAATATAACCTAAAATTACAGTTCATTGCAGAAACACAAATCCTTAACACTGCAAAATAAAACTAAAAAAGTCGATTGAAACAGTAGTTTCTTACCTCTAAAAGCTCAAGGAAGATTGTGCTAAATCTTGAAGAATCGCGAGGGAAAGACCAAGACGGATCTATCACTTACGCAATTCCAATGAGTCACACGCAGAAACATCCGCCCAATCGGTCGAACTCAAATCAATCACCAAGTTTGTGTTTCCTAAAATAAGAGAGTTGGTTCTTCGAGTGCTACCTAAATTGAAGGGTTTCTACTCTAAGGTGCATACTACGGAATGGCCATCCTTGGAAAAATTGCTGGTGAGTGATTGCAGCAAGGTAGAGAATTTGGCTAGGGAGTATATCAACTTCGGAGAAACACAAGGAAAGAGCCAACCTCTGATCTCTGTTCAACAACCCCTGTTTTGGGTCACTGAGGTAACAGTTCACAAAACTAACTTAATACATATGCATCTGTTAGAATTTGTGACATAAATTCAGTCTTGATGAAGTTTACGATTGGACCCAATTGATGAACCTATAAAATTGAGGTAAAATAGGGGATATGGCATCAGTTTAGACAATTTTTTTATTGAACATACATTTTTCCAAATTTCTCAGGAAGTATTCCCCAATTTAGAAGAATTGCACGTGATTCGGAACAACAATATGAAGGAGATATGGCATGGAGCACTTCCAAACCTATATTTTCCCCAACTCAAAAGAATGTGTGTTATATATTGCCAAATGTTAAAAGAAATCACAGCTTCAGCAACTGATGAAGTCATGAATGGCATCGTTTTCTCCCAACTCAAGTCTTTAAAACTTGTTAGTCTTCCGATCCTATCAAGTTTCTGCTCAGGGAAGTATACCTTAGTATTTCCTTCCTTGGAAGAAGTAATCATCAGATGGTGTCCGAAGATGGAATTTTTCACAAAGGGGAAGTTAAGCACACCGATGCTGCATGGACTACAATCAACTAAAGGCAAATATGTAGGACACTGGGAAGGCGACCTTAATGCTGTCATTCAACAGTTGTTTGTAGAAAAGGTATGAACCATTTCAAAAGAAAAATAGTAAAACTTTATAAGATGAGAAGTTCTAATGTTCATCATATGGCTAAACAATTTAACATTTCTGAATAAAAATTATAGGATAAAATTGCAAATTGAGTATATATTTGATTTTACCAAACTACATACTATGAAAACAATTACAGAGATTGGTGCATAATGTAGTTGATGAATAGTGAAACTTTTCTCCACGCATTCAAGACTATATGTATTTTATGCAGGTTTTCCTTGGCTTGGAGGATTTGGAGCTATCTTCAATCAGCATTCAGCGAGCATGGAAACACAAGCTTCTGGCCACACATTCTTATGCCCAAAATTTAATATGCTTGACTATTAGGGGCTGTCATAATTTGAACTGCCTATTCTCGTCCTCTATGGTTAAAAGTTTTGTGCATCTCAAGAAACTAACCGTCGAAAACTGTGAGAATCTGGAAAATGTGATATTTTTGGAAGGATTAGCCAAAGAGGAAATTATGAACCAGAAGTTTCGTGTACTAGAATTCCTATTGCTCAAAGACCTTCCTAAACTGACTAGATTATGCCATGGAAATTACTTTGAATTCCCTTTGTTGACAAGTCTTAATATAGAAAGTTGTCCTACACTAAGAACATTCGTCTCCAGTGCAAAAGGAATCAATTCGGAGATTCCCTCTCCGACTCTCTTCGATCAAAAGGTAATACTCCCTTACCTTTCTCTGTATCTTCTTTTTCCTTAAATATTTGATTGCCCTGTTCGTGTCGTGGATGCTGTTTTCTCTAGTAATTTTTAGTTGTAAATTCCATTGTTTTATACTCAGTTCATTAATATTACCTCCTGTTATTGACACAATAAAGTGAATTTTGTAGGTGGCATTCCCTTGCTTAGATGAACTGACCATCATAGGTGTGGGAAACTGGAGAAAGATATGGCAGAAGCAGCCAACTAATTGCCTGAGGATTCATTTTGCAAATTACTAATCTTCTGTAGGTGTTTGATTAAAAAGTAATAATAAGAACCTTTTGAATACTGTTTTCATTATATATGAGAGGACGACTGGTGAAACCACAGTGGATGCAAATAATTGAATCTGTTGCTGTAGAACGAGTCCTTAAGCCTGTATTTTCCTAGACTAATTACGTCCGAATACTTCATAGGCTGTTCACATTGAAGAGTTCCAGCTCAAGGATACTAATGAAAGGCCATCATTGAAGAAGGTATGAGTATTGAAAATATCCTTGTTTTGGCAATGCATACGTAGTTGCATAATCCATTCTTTCACCTTTCAATTTCAATATTATCTCGGTCCTTGCAGCCTGCAGGATGTCGATTCTGAGGAAGAGACTGAGTTTTGGCTTCAGTTTCCCTGTTACTCTAAATCAGAAAGCAAGTAGTAAGTAGATCTTCTGCCATTTCAATTCGGTATACTTTATCAGGGTGATGCAGTTGCTTTGCATAGAGTTATATAAATTGACATGTTCTTTTCGTTGCAGGTTGAATTGCACCACTCAAGCATGTTGCTGCTGCTCAGTCTGTAGCTACATTCTCTTTTTATGATTTTCAGATTCTTTAAAATGTAAACTTCATAAAAGAAAATAAATACAGAAAATTCTTGTAATAACAGGATAAGTGAATACAAAGGCAGAGTTCTCAGATAGTTGCCATAATCCCCTGTTTCAAACCAACATGAAAGGTGAATACATATCAATCATTGTTAACCATGAATCCCATTCACATACTCTCAATCTTGTAATGAAGCCATTGTCTTGGAATTATGAGTTTAGATGTTCTGGTTGTGGTAATTTTGGCTATTCTACTAGCTACAGATGCTTTGATTGCAACTTCACTCAGTAGCATTTTGCTACCACAGACCATTTCGTACGAGTACAATAAGCATCCTTTCAGGCTCACCTATGATTCTCTTGATAAAAGTTCTTTGGATAAAAGTTATTGCGAAGCTTGTAAGAAAAGAAATCCAGACCACTGATTTCACTACTGCCCAGCATGTGAATCCACAATTCACTTAGATTGTGTCACAAATCAGTCATCAAGTCTTGAAGGGCCATGGTTGGGTCGATCAAGCAATCAAGCATCAAGGGTAGCTCACAAAATTAAGAAAATGTTAACAGTTTCTTTTTAATTTTCAAGTTTGCTATTTGACCATGTATAGTTGCTTGCTAACTTCAATAGCTAATTTCTTCTTTTGTGGAGACTATCAGGAAATGTGGTTTCGGTTTGATTCAAATTTACTTGAAGACATACTCATCTAAGTTGATCTTCAGCAAGAAACTAGTGAACCAATCTAGACTTTCTAAATTTTATGCCTTATGTTCTGTTCTTTTAGGAAGGTGGCTATGAAGACGTTTAAATTAGACAATAAAAGAACATACTAATCATTTACTCAAACACTTACCCACGGTTAATGGCATTGAATTGGGTTTATCAAAAACCAATCCTTAAATGTCAAGATCCTTTCTTTAGGATCATCATGCTTTCTCTGTTAGGAACCCAATAGGTACACATTGCGGAAATCCCCCAGTTAAAGAAAGGAATCCTTTCCTTTCCTTTCAGTTTAATTAAAGACAAAGAATCTAGTGTAACTTAGCTCCCTATCTCAAGTATATTCATTCTCAACCACATGCAATACAATATCTAGAGTAAAGTTGTGTAAGGTACTGTTACTGGTAACGAAACTATTAAAGCTTTCTTAAGGTCGAAAACTGCAGTTTAAAGAGCAACTCAAAATACCAGGGCTGACAGGAGTTACCAGGAAGAGAAACAGCATTGATATTTCGATGATTATCGCTGGTAAGTAACTACTTAATCTTCTTTTATCATGATGTTTCAAATGCAGTGTCTTGTGTTCCTGTTAAGATAATCATTATGTTTTACAAAAATAAAAATCCCAGAAAAATAGGAGATAATCAGTAATTGGTAAATATATGCAACTTCACATGAACCTCTAATCAATTTCTTGATATGCAACTTCTAAAGACTATAAAGAAAGATTGACATTAATCCTTTCTGTGCGTTTTCTTCTTCAGAAGCTATTGCTTGAGTTTCATACCAATTGTGGTTTGATGAAGATGTTATGTAAACAATCGCAGTTATTACCGGTTTGATTATAATGAGGAAGGGGAGGGGTGCAGTGTAGCTAGTTACGCCAAAGCTAATGAAGATATGGAAGGATTAGGAGCTTCGATCAATGGTTTTAACGAGCCTTCTGGTCCAAATAATTCTCATTGTCTTCGGCAGCAGAAGAAAATACATTCGGAAAGCAAAGCTTAGAACCATTTTTTGGAGTTCCTACTTGTTGGCTGACTCTGTTGCAACCATTGCCCTTGGCATACTAACAAACAACCTGGGAGATATATATGATAAAAGAGGTGAGGTTGACTTGAAAACAAAACTTACAGCATTTTGGGCACCTTTTTTGCCGCTGCACTTGGGTGGCCCAGACACAACTACACCTTATTCCTTAGAAGACAATCAGTTGTGATTAAGGCATTGTCGGGGACTGATAGTACAGGCAGTTGTGACTGGATATATCTTCGTCATGGCCTGGTTGTCAGATAGCTGTCTTTCGTGGCTAAGCATTCCAATGATTGTGGTGGGGTCAATTAAGTACGGAGAGAAGACTTGGACTCTTTGGCAAGCAAGCAATGATCAACTTCGAGACTCATGCTCACTTCTCCAGACCCAGACCCAGACCCAGGTTCGAACTATTCCAAGTTGATGAATGAATTCAGGCTGAAACAAGCTGAAGGCTTCTTTATGGTGATTGAAGAGGTAAAGGATGTTCCATAGGAATTGGATGTAGCTGCCCCTCCAGGAACCACTTCTGATGAAGAGAATATAATCAAAGCCGACGCCGATCTTCTTTTGAGAAAATGTCTGATAAAGATGCTTTTGATGTGGTGGCTATTGAACTAGGGTTCATGTATGACAAGCTGTACACAAAAGCAACAGTAATTTATACTCCTGGTTTGATTCGCCGCATCACTACTTTCTGTCTCACTTTGCTGGTGCTGCTGATTTTCTGTATTGAGGACATGAAGAAGTACAGAAAAGCCGACATATTCGTAACCCCATGAATTTCAATTTCAATTTCTTCTTTTAACAATTCAAGAAATAATTTTGTTGGGAATTCAGTTGCTCACTTGTTCTAACAAAGATTCTACTTGGATAAACTGCATTCATAATCATAACAAGGTACACATCTAGAATAAGTGAAAATTTCATGTCTTTATATTTCAAGTTTTATATTATCTAAAAACAAGAAGAAAGGATTGACATGTTCTTATGGTACAATTATTGATACAAGAAAAAGAAGAAAAAATAAATTAGTTTAACATACTTTGCACAATATGTTAAAACTGTTAGGAGGTCTTCCCATTTTCATCATTCTTCAGTTCCTTCAGATTCCTCCACAGATACTTCCCACTAGCCATGTCCACAAATACCCAGAATCCATTCTGAACCATCTGAAAATCCAGCAATATGAAAGTCAAAAACAAAACCCAAAGTCCAGGGATTTAAATATCTGTCCGAATAGCGATGTTATATAATGGTAAAAGTATAGTCCGAAACTGTAATTATACGATTGTGATATCCGCAATGATCTAATTACATTTATTATGTCCGCAATCACGATAAACCCAACAAAAATACAGCATCAACTGCAATTTAAATCCTGACCCAAACAAGAAAAACAGAAACCCAGAATAGGAAACATGTTTTTTGGGGGAAAAGAGGGGAAATATTTTCATACCCTTTTGAAACTGAATCCATGAGTATTTTGAACAACGATCTTCTCGGAATCCTCTGAAACTTCGCCGTCGGTGCCAGCTGATGAACGTACCGTCCTCCATGCGACATAGCCTGCTAAAATTGCAGAGAAAAACACCAACAAGAATCTCATAGGACACATTTCGTCTCTAGAACCAACGAAAAAACAATTTTTTTTCAAAACAAAATGGATTTGTTAAGAACAAAAGCAAGGGAGAATTTTGGTTTTATTAAGGCAGCCTCTGCATTATTTTATAAGTCAAAAATGATATCCTATGTGTAAACCACGTTCCTGGAGGCTGGAGATTGAAAAATTCTACACAAAGGGATGAAGGAATTGGTAGTAGGTATTGTAAAAGCCAATAATGGCAGAAAAGTCAGCAGCCATCACCACCTACATGTAACAATCAATTTTCAGCTTTTTACTCTCTCTGCGCACATATCCAATAAATATACAGTTAAGAGAGTCAGCAAATTTGTCTGAACAAAAAACTGGACTTTTTCTATGCTGTTACAACCTAACTCAGCTCGCGGATTCGTGATCTAAATTCAAGTCGGTATTCATTTTAGGATAAACTTTGTCAAAAATAATCGAACTTTAAACGTTGACTCAGTCGTACCATTAAATTTAAAATTTTATCAATTTTAACCTTAAGTGTAATTATGTCACTCCACCTTTAGTGATTTGAGGAGATGATGAAATGGTAGTTACACGTCATGACGTTGTTGACGTGGTTACTTAACCATAATGATTTGTTTTAACAATATCATTTTAGTGCTCATGAATACCAAAACAACATCATTTTGTTGATAAAAAATACTTTTCATGATATTTGAACAAAAAATTTTTAGGAATCAAAGCTAAACACTCAACCACCAATTCACTTAAGAAAGTGATACGATCTTAACAAAATTAATATATATGTTAAATAGTAATTTTTTCAAATTAATATATTATTTTTATAATATCATTTATCTAATTATATATATTATTTTTTGTAATATCCTCACACTAACTAAATAATCTACGATGACTCCGATGCTCAGACAATATATCCGGATTGTGAGGAGATGTGCATTGGTGAGAAGACTAACATATTTCAAAACGGTGAAGATCCAACGGTGAACGATGGAGATTGGAGAGCGAAGAAGCCGAAGAGTTACGACATCTATTTGTCAAGTTTGGGGCTTTTTCTAGTGAAACCAAGGATCGATTTGCGCTCAGGAGGTCGAAGCAAATTTGCAGGAGTATTTTGAAGTTTAATGACTTATAGAGGCGATCAGCACACTAGTTAATGGTGATCGGCGACTAGTGATACAACAACTGGCCAAACCTTTCATTGATTTTTGGTGATAATTAGAAAATATTTAAAAAAAATAATATTATAAATAATATTTATAGAATATATAATTAGAAAATTAATATAAATAAATGATACCATTTATAAATAATAATTATACATTAATATAATTATAAAAATAATATTAAATAAAGTATATTAATCCAAACTACTATTTAACATATATATTAATTTTGTTAAGATTATAACAAATTCTTAAGTTAGTTTGGTAATTGGGTGTTTAGCTTTTGATTCATAAAGGTTTTTCGTTTAAATCTCATGGAAAGGATTTTTTTCGATCGATAAAACAACGCCGTTTTGGGTTTTTTGAGCATCGAAACGATGTAGTTTTGGTGATGCGACTACATTACCAACATTACGATGCACAATTATCATATCATCGTCCCGTTAAATCATTAATAACAAAATAATATAATTACATTTAAAAATTATCGTTACTATTAAATTAGTAAAATTAAAAGTTCAATAATATAAACGAATCAATCGCTTCAAATTCATTGATACTTAGTTTACCCCTAGGAAAACTATATTTGATATGTAGTGTGAATTTGTGATGTGAAATTGAATTCTTAGATATGCATAGGGATGGCAAACGGGCGGGTCGGGTGCGGATACCCCCTCCCTCATCCTCATACACACCTAATATTTTTCAATTCACCACCCGCCCACCACCCATGATGGGTAAAAATTTTCAAATCCACACCCGCCCACGCGGGTATATTCTTAAATCCATCCCCACACCCACTACCCACCTAATAGGGGATGCATTAAATATGCGTGTATTGTTTCGTACTTCAAGCTCATTCCAACGATTGGTGACAACTCAGTATGGGGCTTGCAGACCATGTTTCGCTTGAATAAATATGTTAGGCAATAAACTTCTTGTATCTTCGGTTTGCTTTGGAAATTATAATTATGTTATCCAACAAGAAAATCTATATTGGATTAGAAAAGAAAAAAAACTATGTTTTTTAGTAAAACATGAAAAGACAATTGAATTACACGCATATGATTCAAGGACATTATATATTTATATTTCCCTATCATCTGCTTTCTTTGAATTAAACCATTCCATCAAATCATGAGAAAATATCATCGAATTTAATCAAAACAAAAGCTGAGAACAATTAAGTTTTGTCGAAGCAAACTAAGATGATTTAAGACCTCCTAAAATAACAGCTCTCCATAAAAGAGAATACAACATAGGCCCTTTTTAAATGAGCAAAAAAAAAATTACAGCCTTTTAACCATAAACGATAAGACATCCATATCATTACAAAGATTTCTCTTCAATGCATTTACTTATCATAAATAAGTGTGAAAGATGTGGGTAGAACATTCATTTACTCCTCTATTTATATGTTAACAATAAGAAAAACAATAAATTTGGTGTTTCATTTGAAGATATAGTTTAGGAGGTGCCTAAAACAGGATTCTCGGTAGAGATTAGAAGCAAAAAAATAAATGATATTACTATACCGAACTAAAGAAGCTTACTTGACACATCCCAAAAAAAAAAGAAAAGATGTTTACTTGACTCTATAGAAATTTTTATGTCATTATTCTAACGACAACTCTACAGTTAGTAAAAGATAAAAAAAATATAAATTTAATTTCGGGGACAAGAACAAGGGAAAGTAATATAGAACAATGAAGACATTGAATCTCTTAACACTTAATTCTATTCAGTGGCGTTAAAAATGGAGGTTTGAAAAGCAACGATCTAACTCTGTTGGTCTAAACGTGAGTGCTTAGTGACAAGATACTGATTTGTAGAACATTAAGAAAGTAAGCTTAAAACAAACATTGAGATGAATCTAAAAAATAATTAAAAATTAGTACGAGCAAATAAAAATTAAACTCTTAAAACGAAATGCAGCTCTTACAAAAATTAAATTTCAAGTAAAAAGGAAGAAACGTACCTGAATAAGTTGGAGAGTGGACACCAGAGGTTTGAAAGATCGGCGCAGTAACGAGAGGTTTGAAAGAAGAAAAAAAATTATGCATAAACTTATCTCTAATATTTGATTAAATTACAAGTTATATCTTATACAATATTAGGATTTATAAATTAGTCTCTAAAATTACTCATAAATTCATAATGATCCAAAATTTAATGGATATTTAGCTAGGCGGGCGGATGTGGGGCGGGCGGATGCGGCGCGGGTGGATGTGGGGCGGATGCGGGGCGGGTAAAGTCTCAAACCCATTACCCGCCCACTACCCGCAACGGATACCACGTTTTAAATCCAGACCCGCCCACTACCCACTAAAATTATATCCATCCCCGCCCCAATTGGAATGGGTGCGGTACGGAATCCACGAAATTGTATCCGTTTGCCATCCATACTCATATGCATTCGAGGAGGATAAAATATTAGTGTTTATTCGATTCACGTCCAGTGAGTTGGATCTGACTGTGACAGTTTAAAATTCTAATCTTAGTAAGTAGTAAGTGGAAAAAGTAATATTTAATAGTATATGAAAAATATTACATGTTAAAAAAATGGATATTTTTATTTTAATAATAATATATTATGTGGTTTTACTACGAGTTAAAGTTTACTAGCAATCCAAATTCTTGTATTATATCAAAAGTTTATTTTAATCCGTCGATTATTATTAAAAGGGAGAATTTAATTTATATAATTGGAAAAAATGATTTTTTAGTTTAAAATGTTTAATTTATTATTAGTTTGACCTAAATATTAGTTTAAATATTTTTTAAGTTATTATCAATTTATAAATGATATAAATTGATCATTTCCAAAAATAAGAATAATTTAATCCAAATACTTTTCAAAAGTCAACAAATAAAAAAATATCTATAACACGTGAAATGTGTATAACTATGATTGGATGGAATTATATAGATGAAATATATGTCGATGAAATTATATACAATGAAATTATCTTTTTCTTAGAATGACAATTCACTTAATTTTAAAAGTGTAAAGTAAACAAATGATCCACTAACTATAACATATTGCTTTATTCAATCCCGGCTATTAGAAGTTATAAAATGATCCCCTAATTATAAGTTGTTATTTTGTTGAGTCTTCGACTATTAAAAGTTACAAAATGATCCCTGACTATTAATTATATACCAAACTTGTCCTTTTTATTTAGAAAATGACGACATTCTGAGCTGGACGTTAACATGTTAACTGAGATATGATAAAATCTGACGTCATAATCTCAAACGACGATCATATCTCAATCAGCATACTAACGTCCAGCTCAGTAGACCATTAATTTTTTAACAGAAAATGACTAGTTTGGAACATTATAAATAGTCAAGTGACCATTTTGTAACCTTTAATAGTTGAATGACTCAAGAAATTAACACCCTATAGTCAATGGACCATTTTGTAACTTTTAGTAGTCGGGAACTCAACAAAACAGTACGCTATAGTCGAGGGATCACTGTACTTTACCCATTTTTAAATTGATAAAATCTAAGGTATATTTAAACTCAATATCTTTGTTAAACTAACTGTAGATTAATATTTTAGATCAAAATATTCACTTTTTCAAACGTACAAGGAGTAAAATGTCTTTTTCTTTAAATAATTTCCCCCTTATGATATCCTACTTCATGATCTTTATCCAAAGAATATATATAATTTTTTTATATATATTTGATAATTATTTTTGTCATATCTTATTTAAGTATCAAACACAGGAATACAAATGAAAACTCGAATAACATAAGACTTTATTCTGTCTGAAATATATACATTTTCGTTTCTGAATATGCCCCGAAGAACAACAATGAATGCATTGGCAGCAACCAACAGAAATTTTAAGCAAACAGCTATTTAGGTTGTTTACACATTCCTTTGGAAATCAACTACTCATTTATCCGGTAACGCTGGTCTCCGCTATATTACAACCGCTATTCTGATAACAGACCACTATTTAAGTCCCTAGATTCAGGGTTTAATATGACAATGCAACAGAACTTGTCGAAGGAGGAATCAGATATCACCCCGAGGTCATAAAAAGATCTGTTATCTTTATTTACTATGGATTTCGATCATCCTTCGAATAATCTGTGTACAGGTTGAGCCAGATCAAGTGAATGCTTTAGCACACCTAATGACATAGAAGACTGCAGTCGCCGATATCCCATAATATGGTAGTGCTAAAGGTGGGTGGGATAGGATGTGATCCTGTAGAGTTTAGTATATCCGAGCTAGAACGGCTTTCTCGAGTTTTCTCCAAGAAGATACATGACCTGATTGGGATTCACACAGATGTTTCAGCACCTGATATGAGTACAAGTCCACAGGTGCAACATATATATGCTTCAAATATTGTCATTCCTATCAGTCTTCCTTCTACCTAGCTGGTTCTAGCGTTCGAAAAGTGGATTTCCAAACCGATGATGGTATTTTTTTCACTTGGTTTAAATATACAATGGCATGAACATTACAGGCCGATTATTATGTTGATTACAATTCTGAAGCCATTTTTTCTGCTGCGGAACATGGCAACTTCTGGTATAATAAGGAGACCAATAAGCTAAAGACATTCAGATTAGAAAATTCAAGATGTTGAAACTAAATTTGAACAGGGGCTGCGCGAACACAAACCCCCACTACCACATTATGACGTAGGCTCTCCCACTTGGGGAGACCTTAGGCGAGCACCCTTCCTAAGTGCAATGGAGGTCACCAGCCTAGGCCATGGATCTTGTTGATCATCCATTCACCCCGTCCAGGTAAGTATATTTCAATGTAGCTATGTGCCTCTTATTTATAAGTCCCAGCTTGTGGTTCTTCCTCTTCCTTAATCAATATGGGATTAGTGCTTCATCATTATTCTCCACTTCCCTGGTGGCTGCTGAGGCTGAATGAAGCCCCTAAACAAATTTACAAAAAATATATGAAACTAATAAACATATTAGAATCTATTTTTTATCTCACTGATAAAAAATGTTTGTAAATCGACTTTATATCTTAGTACCCCAAAAGTCTGTACAAACGATTTAGGCATGTATTCGAAGTCTCTCTGGGGTTGGTAAGGAAAAATGGGGCCACCCATTGAGTGCTTTACCTTGGGCCATCTACATCATACACTATTTAAACAGATTTCATGGAAAACCAGCTATATCTGATCTTGGTTGGCCTTTCACCCCTATTCACAAGTAATCCTCTTATTTTGCCACATACGTGGGTTCGGTCCTCCAAGGCATGTTAGAGCTCTCTTCAACATGCTCATAGCTAGATTGATCGGTTTTGGGTCAAATAGGAAGAACTAGAAGATTTCACCTCTGGAAAGCGCCTACACCTAATGGCTTAAGCCAATGTTCTTATTTCCTCGCTGACCCATCATGCAAAAGGTACGCTGTTATCGGTCAGAGTAAGTGTGCTTTACTAATATCAAGTAAATGCTCTAAGCTCCGCTCCTTCAACTGATTGTTCGCATCGGATCTCAGGTTCTCTATTGCAATCCCAAGATAGGATTCTTTTCACCTTTCCCATACTTGTACGTTATCGGTCATTGAGGAATATTTAGGCTTAGAGGGTGGTCACCCTTTGTCGCGTAAAAGCGATCAGAATTTGAACACGCCGCGTTTTACTGGGAAGGATCAAACCATGGGAATGAATCTATAAGGCTATCACATTCTTTGGCCAGATATTCCAACCTTTTCACAATTACAGTTCACTGCGCCCTTTATTAAATAGAAGGCAAGCGAGGAAGATCACATTTAGATGAAGAAGGGGAAAAACTATGTATCTTTCACCTGTTCCTGAATCACCTATTCATTGAGCTCAGTTCGTTGAAGCTTAATCACCTTTTCTCGTTTAAGAAAGAATATCATTTCTGTGACCAATTCAGTAGTTTTCAACTGAATTTCCTTCCCAACGTGGGGGAGATAAGCTTGTCTTTCTTCGTGACTTCACGATTAGCCAACTAAAGAAAGAATCGTTAAACGAATAACGGATGAGTTCTGAAACGAACGGTTAAGGGACTTTACTCAACAAGAGTAAAGGGACGTACTAGTTCTTTTTTCTATAAAAGATGTAATTCGTCTCGACCGAACAAGCAAGACCCTTAGACGAGTGGAAGTAGGATTTATAGGTGGGCGCTAACGCGTCAAAGCCTATAGCTGACGCTATGGAGTTTGATTGCTGAGAGGAGAAGAGAAAGCCTTTTTTTTCTTTATTCATATGTGACGGAGTTTCAAGCAGCTTTACCGAATAAGGGGTATGCATTTTCTAAGCAACTCCCACACCCCCAATTGATCAAGGGACAAGAACGGTCGATCATAACAGAACCCAACAAACTGCCTAGGGAATAGTTGGAATGAAAAAAAAGAAGAGAAAAAGTACAAGATCCGAGGTTGAAGAGTCCAAGTCCCAAGGCAAGGGAGGAGTGAATTTCTGAAGAACCGATGGCATTGAAGATGACGTAGCTTAACGTCAATGGAAGAATTAGCTCAAGCCACTATACCGGTATAGGGGCCTTTAGGCCTATCAAACATATGAGCGGGGAAGGGGTCGTATGGACACTTTACGAAGTAGCATGGGTCAAGTCCTCCGCACGCCCTTGTGCCAGCGTAAAGCAGAACAATTTGAATTTTAAAGGTTAGCAGTTGTTAGGCAAGCAGTGGCTATAGGGATCGTTCCAAGCCTTGATATAGGAGATTGCCCGATCTTTCTATCTTTCTTTGTCACAGTTCAATCACAATGATTGACTGGGTGGAAAGCAATCTTCTCTTGCTCAAAGCTATAGCTAGTATGAACAGCTTGGACTATTTTTTCCTTCGCGATTAGCCCCAGACAGAGTCTTGAAGCTAAGTTCTTCAACCCGTCGTTAACGTTTTCCTTGGTCTTTGTTTTCCCACTACCTCCAGATAACTGCTTGAAAGAAAGCTCTTTTTCTTCTCTTTTCTCTGGCTCAATCCTGAAAGTTGAGTGGCGTTAAAGCTACCCTTGATTCTTTCATGCTTGCAGAGGTGAGATCCAAGGATCTATCCGTAAATTCTTGGAATCAAAGAGTCAGAAAATGCTTGTGGAAAGAGAGACACATTCCCTTGTGATTTCGCAATCTTACCTATTCATATAGTCCTTGCGAAGCTCGATAGCCTAAGGATGCGAGGTTGAGCGTCAGTAAAGAAGGCGACCTTATCTGGATCAAGATCTTTAGAATGTGGGAAATCGATTTGATCAATCTTCTGTTAGGAAATAAACCGAGTACAAGTAATTTCCCTATAACCAGATTAGTGTGAATGCGAAATAAAAGCAGAAAAATAATACCCGAAAATTGATAATGGAGTTCAGCCAATTGTGCTTACGTCTCCGGGCTGCTGCAGATCTTTTACTAAGAGAGAAAATTTACAGGTGTTTATCAAAACACTCACTACTCATAAGAAAGCTCTCTAGTATAGGAAGAAAGAAATGTTTTGGGATGATTTTGAAGCTAAATGGGCTAGGGTATTTATAGTTGAAACTTAGGACTAATCTTGTAAATACCCTAAAGTGTGCAGTGGCTAAATGTATGATTTAACCATTTTTTTATTTTAATTTTGAATGTGCGGTGCCCCCCCCCCAATTTTGAAAATTTTGCTGAGAAACAATTCAGCTGGGCCCCACCTTTGATTACTTTCAACAATCTCCAACTTGAAGACTGATTTTAATCTGTCTTCACACCTCGATCGATGCAGCAGTATTTCTGTTCTTTTATTCTAGCATGCCAACTGAAGCTGAACACAACTTCAGTTTGTCTGTAGTCACCGTCTTTGTCAACATGTCTGCCGGATTTTGAGCTCCACTGATCTTTTCAAGTTTCAAAATCCCATCTTCCAGAAGAGACCTGATAAAATGATATCTCAATTATATGTGCTTCATCCTGGAATGAAAAGACGGATTCTTTGCTAGATGGATAGCACTTTGACTGTCGCAATACAAGACATTGTTTTCTTCTTTCTTGCCTAACTCTTCCAAGAAACTTTGGAGCCAAACCATCTCCTTGCTGGCTTCCGTAACAGCGACATATTCTGCTTCAGTTGTGGAGAGAGCAACTATCTTCTGTAGTTGAGAAGCCCAACTCACTGCAGTCCCTCATAGAGTATAGACATACCCTGTAGTGCTCCTTCTGATGTCAACATTTCCGGCTAAGTCAGCATCTACATAGCCTGTCAGTATCATATCTCCACCTTTGAAACAAAGTGCTTTGTTTGTGGTACCCCGCAGATATCTGAGGATCCATTTGACTGCTTCGCAGTGTACCTTGCCTGGATTATTCATGTACCTGCTAACAGCTCCCACTGCATGAGCAATATCTGGTATGGTACAAAACATGGCATACATCAGACTTCCAATTACTGAGGCATATGGTACCTTCACCATGTGTGCACGTTCTTCCTCTGTCTTTGGTGATTGGTCTTTGGAGAGTCTGAAATGAACACCTAAAGGTGTACTTACTGGTTTAGCATCTTGCATGTTGAACCTGGAGAGTACTTTGTTGATGTACTCAGCCTGTGATAACATCAAAGTCCCCGACTTTGTGTCTCTCTTGATCCTCATCCCAAGAATCTGCTTTGCAGCTCCCAGATCCTTCATAGCAAACTGCTTCGACAATTTTTGCTTCAAGTGTATAATCTCTTGCATGTTTGATCCTGCAACGAGCATGTCATCAACGTACAACAATAAAATAATGAAGCTATTGTCGAACCTCTTGATGTAGCAACAATGATCTGCTTGGCATCTGGTAAAACCATTGCTGCTCATGAAACTATCGAACTTCTTGTACCACTGTCTAGGAGCTTGTTTTAAACCATACAAGCTCTTCTTCAACCTGCATACTAGGTTTTTCTTGTCTGCCTCTATGAAGCCTTCTGGCTGCCTCATATAGATTTCTTCCTCCAAATCACCATGAAGGAAAGCTGTCTTTACATCTAACTGCTCAAGATGTAAATTCTCTGCAGCTACAATTTTCAACACCAGTCTGATTGTAGACAGTTTTACGACTGGAGAGAAAATTTCATTGTAGTCAATACATTCTTTTTGCTGAAAGCCTTTGACAACCAATCTTGCTTTGTAGCGTTTTCTCCCATCGTGCTCTTCTTTGATCCTGTAAATCCACTTGTTATGGAGCGCTTTCTTACCTGGTGGTAATTCAGCTAATTCCCACGTCTCATTTGACATAAGCGAGTCCATCTCATCTTTCATGGAAGACTCCCACTTGACTGAATCATCCACCTGCATTGCTTCATCATAGCACTCTGGTTCACCATTGTCAGTCAGCAACAAGTAGTGCAAAGAAGGCGAATACCGTTGGGTTGGTTTAGGAATTCTGGAGGAGCGTCTCAGTTCTGGTGTGCCTGGTTCTTCCTCTTGAACTGCTTCAGGACTGATCTGAACATCATTTCCAGAAATCTCCTCGAACTCAGCAAATTCTTGTGTTTCAGTTTCGGTATTACTTAATTCTGCGGTTGACCTGTCTTTGTACATCACATTTTCATTGAAAATGACGTCTCTGCTTCTGATGATCTTTCGATTTTCGTAGTCCCAAAACCGGTAACCGAACTCATCACCACCGTAACCAACAAAGACGCATTTGTTGGACTTAGCATCAAGTTTACTTCTTTCAGCAGAGTTTATGTGTACATAAGAAATACAACCAAACACTCTTAAGTGTGAAAGGTTTATTTCTTTTTTGCTCCAGGCTTCCTCTGGTATTCCGCCATCCAAAGGAACTGAGGGCCCACGGTTGATCAGGTA